TCGAATCCCCAACCCCCCTCTCCACCGGCCACCACGCGTTCGCGAAGTCGCGCGGCCGCGCTGACGCGTCCGCGGGGTCGCGGACTCGGCCGCGGCCGCAGACTTGGCGGCACTTGTCCGCCGCTGAGGGGGATTCACTGAATTGGAGGAGTTGCGAAGACAGATCGATGACATGCTTGAAAAAGGATTGATCAAGCCGAGCGAATCCGAATTTGGTGCACCAGTTTCGTTTGTTCCTAAGAAAGGAGGCAAACTACGGATATGTATTGATTACCTCGGATTGAACACAATAACAAGAAAGAATGCATACCCTCGCCAACGCATTGATGATTTGCTTGATGTTGCAGGTTGATGCAAGGTCTTGAGTAAGATCGACCTCAAGTCTGGTTATCACCAGATTTAAGTCGACCTTGCATACCAACATAAAGCAGCATTCAAAACTTGCGATGGGCTGTACGAGTTTACCGCCATGCCCTTCGACTCACGAATGCACTGGCCACCTTCCAAAGTCGCATGGACAAGGTGTTCCGCAGTCATATCAATCAATTTGTTGTTGTTTATTTGGATGGCATACTAATCTTCAACAAGTCGATGGAGGAGCACATGGGACACCTTGAGGAAGTGTTACAGGTCCTCAAGGATGCGGAACTCCATCTCAACTTAGAGAAATCCGAGTTTCGGAGGGACAGCGTCATCGACCTGGGACATCGGTTGTCCGCTGCGGGCCTCGAGCCCGAGGCAACCAAAGTTGAGGTCATCCATAAATGGCCTCAATCGACAAATGTACAAGAGTTGCATTCTTTTCTTGGACTCGCATCATACTACCGTAAGTTTGTGCCCAAATTTTCTATCATTGCTGGTCCATTGTCCAAATTGACAAGCAAGAACATGTCTTACACGTGGGCCCCTTTCTGGGCCTCGAGTCACATGGTAAGACCTGTCCAATGCTTCTCAAGGTACCGGTTCCGACAACTCTACCAAAAATGCTAGGACCAGTCCCTGCATAACTTCCAGCCCCGTTATACCCCTCCCGCCCTGTCTTCGCTCATATGGGGGACAGCTGTATTCGCTATGCTATTTTTTTCCAATCTCAATTTTTTTCCCACTCACCTTTCTCCTTTTTATTAACTTACCTATCTATCGTGCGCATCGCCCTTATGCTAACTACCCTCCCCATCTGCTTATAGCGGACACGAAACTACCTCAGACGTAGGGTTATGGGTCTACCTTCCCGATCTATCCCAGCCTACCTATCTGAGCCTTCCCGGTTAAGCCTCTCCTCTCAGGGTTGAACCTAACCCCTAGCAACAGAAGGAGGGGACGATGACCATCCCCCCCCAACCAACCAGGAGGGGCAAGCCGACTATCTCAGCTGGTGAACCCGCAGCACACCTTAGGAGCTCGTGGGTTGGAAGGAAGACATGGAGAATTGAACCCACGACCTTCTGAATGCAACTTTCGAGCTCTACAAACTGAGCTAGGCCACCCTCTCTGAAAATTTGTGCCACCCTGAAATAGACGCGGCAACCCACTATGCGGCCACCTTAGGGCTGTGAATACGCAGGAGTCAAAAACAAGTAAACCGAATAGAACTGAACTCAAAACTAACAAACGCCTTCGTAATGGCCCAGGCCCTCTCCGCCAATCGTAAGTCTTAAGAAGGTCCAAGAGGCCGAGGGGGCTGCCCAAAATACATGCCAGGGGCCCCAGGGCCTATATGGGGTGCCAAACTCAGCATGAAATGGCCTGCTATGAAGAGGATTACTTCCAATGTAATCATAAGACGCTCGTTTTTTTCTGCACTCACTATCAAACTGCCGATAGGCTAGTTTCTGTAAGTGCCTCCAGATCATACACGTCCATCGAGTTCTTGGCTTTCCTTATTGAATAAGGCTCTGATCCCATTCATAACTGGTAAGGTGACATACTTTAATAGCCCTAGCAGCAAAAGCATGCCACGCGTTGTCCTTGGGCACATCCTTTCCATTCGAGCGATGCACGGAAGATAAGCATGCTCAGTTTTTTCTTCTCTTTTCCTTGAAAAATAAGGGGGAAGAATGCCACATGCTACAATATAGTTTGTTAAACTTTGTTTAGGAAAAAGTACATTTATAATAATTTTATATGATAATAACACAGCTTCTAACTTTCAGAAGTTTCGACGTTGTTCCTGCATAAAGCTCTTTATATAGAACCTTTGAGGTGGTTGCCCAACGAAACCCAGCAAACGAGCCAAAAGGAATCGGAATCACGATCTTTACCTCCTCACCGTAAAGGACACGGTTCGTAGACATGGCCCGATCAAGGTACTTCAAACAGTCTGCTGCACAATCTGATGTGCTTTGTCACATTTTAGCAAAACGTCAAGGAACCAACAGAGCTCTAAGACCATTTGAAATTTTCAACCATATAAATTTTCGTTTGCAAACTATTGCAAGGAAATAACTTCAAATAAGCCATGCAAACAGCAATAAACCAAATTGCAACATCTCACAGAAGACCAGATAACATTGACCGGAAACTGAAAGCAGAAAGCAAAGTGAGATCACGCCAAATAGGAACGAGCAAAGCATTGAAGTCTCTTGATAATAAATGCCATCCCAACGCCTCCAATCACCAATGCAACAACAATGTAGGCGGCTATCCGCCCAGACTACTGACAGACGCTCCTATCAACCTAGCCTACTATGTTACAACAGGTCCCACGTGAAGGCAGTCGAATGCCGCTTGAAGACTCTGATTGAACAGCCTGCCTTCGTCATCACCAGGTATGTGCCTTGTCACACTGCCCTTATCTCTTCTCCTTTCCCACAGCCCTTCTCCTTCCAAGGGTCTCCGCTACTCCTCCACCACTCGGCTATGGTCCAGCGCGGCCTGGCTAATGGCCATCTGACCCCTTCTCTCTTGCTGCTACCACGCAGCTTCCTCCTCTGGCCACACATGCTAAGCAGGCACTTGGGTGGTGCTGCTGCATGCTCAATGCCAGAATCTCCCCGAGGCTGTGCCCCCTCCAGCCTTCCTTGCTGGCTAGAAAGGCCGAGCAGCCTCTGGCCGGGCTGCAACCAGTCCCAGTTGCCTGCGCACGGGGTCCCTTCTGGAAGCTGCGCCTAGGCCCAGCATGTGCAGCATCTTCAACTAACTGGGCCTACCTGTTAGTTGGAGATGCTGCACGTGCTGCAACTACCCCCATTTTGCTCACATTGGTCTTCTTCTGAGGCCCTACTGCATTTTTGAAGGCCCGCCTTCACTTAAAGCGGGCAGGGCCTTTTCCTGGCATTGCTGAGGTCCTGAATACTCGCACTGTAGAAGGAGCAGCACACATAGACTCGAGACAAATAATGGGTGCTGGAAAAGAGACGAAAACGAAAAGCACAGCAGAAAGACTCTAGATACGACAAATCTGCAATTCACTTGCTGCCAATTACAAGCAGAATAAATAAAACACCAAAAACTTGAAAAAATAGTCTAAAAAGTTGAAAAAACACACTGTGATTGCTGGCTGCACGCTCACTGAGACCCACCTCTCAATGCTTAAGGGGAAGCTTGCAGCATCATTTGCTTCGTTCATCATACTTCCATATCCATACTATGGAGTCCGGTGTCCCAGTGCATCGCCTCCTAAAGGTGAAAGCTTCAGACAGAGGGCAAGTCAAGATGACGTTTGACCTAGCACAGCCCGTAAATCCTGACCATCACACAAACTCCTGCCCATAAATCATGGCCGTCATGCAGACCCTAAGATACTCCTTGACATGATCCTTCCCAGATCCCTAATCATGGAAGATTTCTTGCACTTGGGTCCATCAATGGAGACAAAGTCCGGATGGGATTGGCACCAAACCAATGGGAAGTAAGATAAGGTAGATTATGTGTTCTCCATCACACAAGCTAATCATGGCACGGGTGAGATTGCTCCTTTGGAAATTGGAACCCTTTCACACTACACTTTGTGGCTTACGTGTGGAGAATAAGATAGATAATCCTTATCCAGCTTGCTAATTGCGATATGTCACATTCACTTCGATCCTTGGTGGCCATGTACAAGTAACGCATAAGCACACACAGGGACCCCCTTATTTTAACTTCAACAACATAGGATATGTTGTTGCTCAATTGAGCAACATAGGATGAATGTTCTAAATTTAGCAACATAGGGCGCATGTTCTAAATTTTGTAGAGAAGAAATATGTTCTGACTTTAGCCAAATGGGAACATGTAGTCAGCCTTAGCCCGCAGTTGTGGGAGAGTAGGTACATCGATTAAACCGCCAGTTCCTTTCCCATCTACTTTGTTCCAATCCACCGTAACACACCACATTAACACGGGATCGGCCAAGTGGACCAGAATGGCCGCCGGCACCAGGCCTACATTTCGCGTCCTCGTTGGTTTGCCCTTCTTTGGCATGCAGTAGAGATCCGGGTCAGGAAAAAGAGGCTCAGAGGAACTGCTGGGTTAAGTAGTATTTTCCCAAAAGAATAGAAAAATGGAATGTGTCCCACAGACCTGCATACAGCCCTTTGCATTAACCTATCTATTTGTGTTCTTCATCGCCATCCAGCCTTAACCACTCCAAAACAAGTTTTGGCTATTCCTGCTACTTTGCCAAAACGCGAACCGGAGAGTTATTTCAAGTTTCCAAAAAAACTGGCTAGTTGTCTCTAGTTTGCCCGTAGAGTACAGCCAGGATCATATGGGCCTGTTTTATCTTTACAAAATATTTATGAAAAAAATAAAAACACAAAAAAAGCAAATAAAGAGGAAGGACCTAGAGACCGCTACCACCATTCGCACTACACATTCCACTGGTCCTTGCCGCTCCTCATTGCTCTGCAGATTAGCTACCAGGTTGCTTTGGCTATTCTTCAGTCTTTCCTAATGCTACTATTCTACTGTGAGATATGACAAGGGTTTCTGGAGCTGCGTTACCTGCTGGCTATAATGGAGAATCACCATCACCTAGACTTTTGGGAGCCACGATAGCCATGCGCTTGCTATAAGGAGAACGAGGAAGCTGTACAGCGTTAGCAGGAGAAGGGGTACGCAAGACTACACTCTGAGTCTGAGGAGCTGGATGAGCAGCAGGCTATGATGGAAACCCTAGTTCGTCGTTAGACCATTCTGTTATTGTTTTATGGTTCAATCTCCTGGTGGTAATCGTCGTGGAAGACAGCGATGTTGAATTCTATGGCTATCATTTGCCGCATGGTACTGAGAGCCAAGCACTTCCGTGGCCCTGGCAAAACAATGAACGACAACCTTGCCCCTCACAGATTTACCTGGAAATGGTGTTGACGGCAGGGCCAGTTCCTAGCTATAGCAGTCTATGGAGATAGTGACCTGGGGAAGGCTCCTCTTGGCGCGACTGAAAAAACAAACGACCACTTTATCCTTGTCAGAGTGCACCTGGGGATTACAGTAAACGCGCCTGGTCAAAATATCCAGTCACAATCGGGAAGGGACAAACTTGTCAGTGTCGATGCCTTCTTCTCCAAGAGTGTGCTCAGTGTGGTGGTCAGTATCCCCACGAATCAAGGGGTCTTGTAATGAGCCCAAGCTTTATGCATCAACCGACATCGCAATTTTAGTCCCAGTTGCACACCCACACAGAACCAAGCACAAGAAGAGATGGAAACCAAAACCAAGAGATATTGGAGACTCGAGTTATCTTGCAAGCATCTTCTCTTCAGCCCACTTCTCCACGGGAAACTATTGTCACCTAGCGCCTCCAAGTCCAAACAGGTTGGTGCGCAACTGATTGGGCGGCTATGGCCGCTAGCCCTAACCAACAAGAAGAGAAGACTCTCTCTCCTCAACCCTCAGGACTCTCTCTCTCTCTCTCTCTCTCTCTCTCTCTCTCTCTCTCTCTCTCTCTCTCTCTCTCTCTCTCTCTCTCTCTCTCTCTCTCTCTGTGAATGTGTTCTCTCTTTTAATACTCTTTTAATACTCTTGAAAGGATTTCACGCAGTCAGTCCCAAGTCCCGGTCCCAGGCTGTCCCGGTAGGCCAAGTCCTACGGTCTGTAGGATGAAGCGTCGTAGGTCGGTAGGAGTCACATACTGAAAGGTCGCGGGTAGGTAAAAGTCCGCGGGTACCGCAAGAGGAAGTCCAGTCCCCAAAGTCAAATTTTGCAGTGGCGTCCCAAGAAAGTCCGGAGACTTCCGGAACACCAATTTTGGCAAGCAGAGGCCGCGGGTGACCGGTACCGGTCCGAAGCAGGCACAAGCAGTCAGCTGCAGCTATCAATAACTGCTACAGTGTCAAGGCCAGCATACTGTTCACTTGCGAAATTGCAGAAGCGCTGCTGGTTGCTTGTGCGATCACGCGACCTGGACTGCGGACAGCGCTTGAGTTGAAGCAAGCACTGGGAGGAAGAAGTCAGCCACAGTTAGGGTTAGGAGGGGGAGGAACACGGCGGCCAGAGCCACAAGGTTCAGCGAGACACCACGCAGTGTACTTTAGGGTAGATCTTAGGAGGCAAGAGAGAGAGAGAGAGAGAGAGAGAGAGAGAGAGAGAGAGAGAGAGA